GGCAGCACTGCCTGAGCACCCACCAACTCATCTCACACAAGCCATTGCACTGCTCAATCTGACTTCCCTTGCTTCTCCAAATTTCCTTTTGCCTGAGTTAGAAGCTGACACAGGGGTCAGAGCCTCCATACCCCATTCCAGCTTGAGCCATCATGTCTTAAAAGAGACCCTACCCTGACACCTGCAATTGGAATACAATAAAACAGCCGTCCCAGAGCCCATTGTGCCCGGAGTTGTACCCATCCGCGGGGAGAGCAGCACCTGCATCAAAGGGCTTACACCCCGGCAAAAAGGTGGGAGAAGAGATTGGGACCCTCACTTTGGAGCTGAGGAACACAGATAGACTTAATTAAGTTTGTACAGGGAGTGTGTGGCAGAGAGGCAGACTGAGACACGGTCTCTGTTTTTCCATCTGCCCTGATACAGATTTAATGCAAAATGCACTGACATAGAAGCCAGGGTACTGGGAGGAGTTTTTGCTTGGGTGGAAGTTTTGGTGTCCAGTTTCAGAGCTGCCCTTGCTTTCTCTCCTCCACTGCCAGGGGACCTTAGGTGTCTTGTGACAGCATTGGAGGAAGGTGTCTCACGCTGACACCCTTCCACAGGCACAAGCTGGCTGAAGTTGAGGATGCAGGGGGAGAAGAAAGACATTCACAGGAGCGTCTTCTCAAAAGAGACGCTTTGCAAGACCGTAGAAGCAGATGTATCGTAGCTCCTTCGCACTTTCGTTTTCTTGGGATTTAAAGGAGAGGGTCTTTCTTACCCTCAGAGAGAGGAGACCTGCTTTATTGCTTCCTAATGCACGCAGATAGGTTACCCAAGCTGTGAGGGTTAGATAACCCTGCGACCATTGCCACCAGAGTCAGAAGCAGGCCAAGAGCCCAGCTTATGGCTCCACGTGCCCTCCCCGTGAAACCGCGCTCCTCTACCTGGCTGCTCCTCTTCCAGATCCCAGACCCGACCCAGCTGGGCGAAGCCGCCGGGTCAGCCAACCACCACCGTCCCAGGGAGCGATACCAGCTGCTCCGGAGGCAGCGATAACGCTGTAGGGCTGTCCTATATTGCACCCACACGTACACACCCCAGCTCCTCTCCCCGTGTACTGGGATGCCCATCGCGCACCCCGCCCTGGGCTCCTGGCAGGCTGGCCAGTTCCCCGTGTTACAGGGTGGGGAGGGAAGATGTTCGGAGCGCCTGCAGCTATTCAGTTACCGATGGTTGTGTTTGAAGCGCTTCCCTATCGCCCTTCTGTTAAAGCTTTGGCTTCCCCCCCATAGCCTCAACAGATGAAATCAAAGGGAAGTAGCTTTGCTTGGTGTAACCTGTTTTGATCAAGCAGATAAACGGGGAACAAGTGTCTGACACAAACAAACAGACAGACAGAGGCAAGTCCCACCTCAGCATTTTGTTGCATCAGATACAGAGGGCTTAGATAAACCACAAGAAGGGGGAGATCTCTGCCTCTCGGCTTGAAGACCAGGGGCGACACTCTGCAGTGCCAAGCCCCCACAGTTCCCATAAAAAAATCAACCCAGAACTTGCTGGCATGGCTTTCATCTGTTTAAACAGATGAAAAGAGCTTACAGCCAAGCATAAAACTCACGCTTGTCATTACCCCCCATGGAGTCAGCGGGACTGCCTGCGAGCCCAGCCGCAGCTGCCGCACGCCAAGCGTTAAACCACGCTGGCATCACACAGGAACAGGTAAAGAGGACCCTCAGACTGGAGACATGACCCGGTGCCCGGACTGGGGCTGACCTACACAGATCCTGGGCCATGGGGGAAGGCAGTCCAACCCACAGCCCTCGTGGAAGAAATTCGTGCCCATTCCACATACTCCTCACACATGTACTGTGATAAAAAAAAGCAGAGTTACAGTAAAGGGAGGCTTGAGATTCACAGACCTGGGCAGGGTAGTTGATATTCCTTAGAAAGTTTGGTTTTTTAATCATAGCTTTTTGTAAAATGGTAAAATTTCACTGCAAGCAGTAGACATGGCGGGGGGGGTGGAATCAAACAAACATGGGTTTTTGGAGACCATCTTACTAAAAACTTTGAAATTTTCTATGAAATTGGTGTGGATGAAAAAGAAAAAAAAAAAGCTTCACTTTCCTAACCTCCTACGAAAGATGAACAATTTGACAATATTCTCAAAAAAGAAAAAGCCCCGTGATTATTTTAAACACCTTCAAAGTAAAACAATGCCCCAAATTACCCTTTTTTCCCCTCTAAGCCTAGAACTGGCAGAGATATGAAAGGATGAGATTAGGCTTCTGCTACTGACACTTCCCATCAGATCTTTAGGCATCAGTTTTAGATCAAGGGCTTGGTTTACAAAAGCATTTTGGCACTCAACTCCCTCCAGTATTTTTTTTTTTTTTTTTTTTTAATTCTTCTTGGAGCCGGTCTGCATCTTTTGGTGATGAAAGGCCTTTGTAAATATGCACCTAGAAGGATTTCCATTCTTTATAAGCTATAATGTCGTTAGTTTGGTAACTGCCCTCTCCTTTGGGGGTAACGAGATTCCTGGGGAGCTGTGTGGATTGGTCCAATTCATTAGGAAATGGGTCTTCAATTAATGAGTCACTGGAAAACAGATTTTCCCACATGAAGCTAGTAAACAAAACACTAAACTATTAGGTGTTGCAGTAAATATTCTTCTAACAATGTGTGTAAGGGAAAATAAAAACTTCCAGGGAAGTTCAGTACAAAGAGCTTTGTTGTTTATAAACAGAATGGTCGGAAAGAGGGGAAAAAACCCAAACGACAAAGATGCGTAGAGGTTTTAGGAAAAGCATTGAGGCAGCCCCTCCATGGGCTTGCCTGGTCGTGACTGCCAGTCGGGCTGATGTGCCGGGTTACACCACCTGAAGTATAACATATAGAGTTGAGCACTAGTGTGCGATCCTGTCCCAGCCACCCTCTTCCCTGCGAGTCCTGCAAGGGTCCAGGCAGCCCGCAGGAGGGGTTGTGGCTCTTTGCTAGTGTCCCCTAAGAAGCTCCTAACCCACTGCAGTGCCTCTCTTCCCAGCTGAGTCTGATGTGGTGATCTCTGAAGACCCTGAACAGTCACGGGGACTGCATTAGAAAAAAAGAATACTTTAAACAGGTTCCTTCCATCAGTCCGCAGGGAAGTGCCACTCTTGCAAATGAAGGAGATTTACTTGTTCTGATTTCCCTGCTTGATTTGAAGGCTCCTAGAGCAGAGCTAATGCTGCTGCAAACATTTTTGCTATTTTAAAACAAATTGACTTCACTTCTCTGCTTTCTTTTCTCAATTACCACTAGAAAGAGGTGCTACAGCTAGCACTAATAGCTGTCTGGGAAGCTTAGGCTGAAAAACATATTTTACCCAATCAGCTGCGGTGCCAGCTTCTCGCCTATATAACACTATTGACAACATCAGCAGCCAGAGTCTCCCACTACATTTAGTAACAGCCAATACCAAAACCAAATAACTACCCTCAATACAGCCTTCCCTAATCTTAATTCAACTGTGCTATCCATCATGTCCGTGTGCTAAAATGCATGAAACGTTTCAGGAGACTCTGGTTCCCAATATAAGGCCCTGTAACAGCTACCAGGGTTTTTTGAAAGAGCTTGGGAAGTTGAGGACATATTTGTTGCAAGGCGGCTTGGAAACGTTTATCTCAAAAAACAACTTGGGGTCATCTGAAAGCCCTGAGCAGAAGCTGACCTGACCAGAGTTCATGGACATGAATAGAACCTGATTTTTATCTCTATCTTACATTATGTCAAATAACCCAGCTTAATAGCTAAAAGCACAGAGCATGTCTAGTCCTCAGTGAAAAGTGTAAATAAAGAGGTAGTTTTAGTCCCATTAAAACATGCCTAGAGTTCTCTGGCTTTACAAAGATCTCAGTTTTTCTAAGTTCTCTCAAATGACAGAAGTAAAAGAGAAACAGTAAAATCATTTCATGTAAAGTTCTAATCTGCTGTTACACATATCCCCACCACCACCCCGCTTAGGGCTCTTCATTGCTCAAAGAACAATCATTCTTCTACATTGTCTCTACCAGTTTGGGTTTTAAAAGGTGTTTATTTCTCAGTTTACAGATGAGCCTCAAGGTTTCTAATAATCTTAATTTTTTATACCTAGTGGGTGCTAAAAATATTTCTTATTGCTGTTTATTTGCCTAAAAAGGAATCTATGATATGAGCCCTTGTGAAATTACAGACCCAAGGTCTTGCATTTAAAGCCCACTGCAGGCAGTGGCAGTCAGAACCGATGCCAGAAAATACAAAACTAATTTTTCTGGTGTATATCACACCTTGTGGCAGTGCAGAAGTTGGTAGGTAACCTGGCAGAAATCAGTGCTAACACCAACACTATCATCTTTAAAGGATCACCCTGTACTTCAGCTTTTCATATTCAAGGAAAACTGGGGCTTCTAGCCACAGAGCAGCGAGAGTCTGAGCAGCCATCAGGTGGGAGTAGGGGACATGAGAAACCCAATCATGCGTCAAGATGAAGAGCGGTAAATTTTTGCTGGAACTACCTAGCTGGATTTGATTATTCCTGAAGTCCCTCCCATTTTTCTACATATACACGGCCAAAAAAGGCTTAGTCCCCAGGGAGTTTTGTCTGAGGAAATGTTCCTGACACAAACCCTACGTAAAACGAAGAGTTGTTTGTGCTAAACTGAGCAGACCAAGACTATTTCAATGGCATTATTCCTTTGGCAAGACATGAGCATATTTCCATGCTAAAACCGCAGAGGACATTACTGAGACGCACATTGATTCACTGCTGTTACAGAAGGATCTTGCATGCTGATCAAGATACGAACGCAATCCTAGCCCAGAGCGCATTCTTGATCAACTCCCAGGCTGGTTGGAAGAGCGCAACGTAGCAGCAACAGGAGTCGAGCAAAGCACGGACAGAAACTTCCAGCACCCATGCCCCCCCTCTTCTTCTTTTCTTTCCCCTACCTCCTCGGGCTTCCTTGCCTGCCCCCCACGTCCTGGACCCTCCTTACCTGGCTCCACCTGGTCAGGTTCGTGCCGAGTATCTGTGGAATCTGCCGCATCACCGCTCATCTTGATCTCTGGAAAAGGAGGCACAACTGATTTTAATAACAGGTCACAGTCCCAGGCAACAGGCACATGTGGCTTCCACTAAACAGCACAAATGAATGTGTAATTATAATAAACCATCAGACTTTCAAATTTCTGATTCCTCAACATACAGTCACTAGAATATTCATCAGCTCCGAGGATGCACTTTCCCTCCTGTTGCTCTTTGTATCCCCCTCATTCCTTTCCCCCTCCCCAGTCTGCTGCTGTGTTCTCACCTTTTGCATCATTCCTCTCCAGCACAGGGGATGAGGGGTTGTTTAACCACTGGGAGCCCCACCAGCCTTGGTGGCCTCTCCCCTGTGCTTTATGCAGGCTTCCCAAACCAGCTGGCGTGGCTCTCAGTTTGCCACCGTCCTCCACCACACCTGTAGAGGCAGAGGATCCCTGCCAGCTTTCCCCTCCTCTCCCACATCCTTTCCTTGTCCCTTGAGATGGCTCAGCCGGGCCAGTGCTTGGTGCTGTACAAAGCACATGCTGGGAGGACTGGCCTCAGAAAGGCAGGCACGGAGCAAGATGCTCTCAGAGAGGCAAGGGAAGTCTCTCTTCTCCGCTTGCTCCCTGGCAAACTCAGCTGATTTCTCTCAATACATCTGATCCCTGTTTGCAAACTGTTTACTCTGTTCTCTCCCACACGCCCGTGCTCACACCCCTCACAAACCACGAAGAAGGTGCCTTGCTCCAAAGCACTGTCCCCAACCTAGGAGCAAGAAGAGCGCTTTGCCATCAAGCTCCTGCTTATTTCCCCCCATCCTTATCAATGCCAGTAAATTTTTCATTTACCCTTGAAGTGATGGCTGCCACCACACCCGGGGCCACGTTCTCCTTCGGGGACAGCTGAAAGAAAAGGTGGGAATAGTCAACTTTACACTGGATTGCTCATCTCCTCCTTAAAAGAGGCAAAGTACACAGCAGTGAAAGAAGGAAGAATATCTATTCAAATTCAGATGGACACCCCCTCACGCTCTTCTACTCTTTGCATGGGAATTTTAACTCTTTCCAGGCTAGTTGGGAAAAAAAATAATATTTTTTATAAAGACCCAACTGATTTGCATGTGCTTCCTGCAGCCAATCCCGGCCACAGATGTCATCCGATTTGCATCGGGTAACAACAACAGCATGGAAGTTGGGCCAGTGTTTGCTGTGGTTTTGCTGGGGTAGAAAAGGCAGGTGGAAGCCTTCTTAAAGGCATCATGCAAACCTTTTCCTCTTTCCTATATATGCCTTGTATTATTTCCAAAAGGGTGAGAAGAATCTCATAGGGGTTTATACCTATTTCCCTCTATTACTCACACTAAAGCAGGCAGGCCTCTTTGTTCATTCAGGTTTTCTTTTCCCCTATTCAAACTTCCAGTGTGCAAATGGCAAATTATCTGCTTTTTGGCCGAAATTGAATAGCTTTGTTTAGGTTAAAGTTTCAAGCTTTTTCTTCAGCAAATTAATAAAGGAAGAAAAAAATGACAAAGTTTTATACAAGAGACAGAGTGCAGAAACATTCACATACTTCAGAAACTTCCTTTCGTTAAACTGTATTAAGGAGTGAGAGGAAAAAGGAGAGAGAAAAGAGTTGTGGGGTTTGTTTTTTTTTTTCCCTTCAAATAAACCCACTGCAATTAAGACACGAACATTTAGTGGGGCTTCTAAGCATTTCTACTGCAGGAAGAGTAATTATCATCAGCTATAAACATCTTCTTGTCTTGTAATACTGCCAAGGGACCCTAACTTAGGCAATCTACAAAGCACAAAGTTTTGCTTGCTGCCAAAAAGTATCTTAAAAAAAAAAAAGTGCCAAGTTCTCATAAAATAGGGTAAGAAAAATCATAAACTATGCAGAAGTTTGGTGCTTGCTTTAGTGGGAAAGCCTGCAAGTTTGCAAAAAAAAAAAAAAAGTAATGCAGGTTTCGTTGTGAGCACACAAATAACAAATGAAGGCAGGTTAGCAAAAGAAAATTATCTAATCCCTGAGACCAAGGAGCCCCTTATGTGCACAGAGCTGAAGAAGAGAAGACACAAAAGCAAACCGTGAGAAGCTTTCTCCCTCTCACAGGAGAGAGCCCTTAGCCCCTCTGCCATTTATAACCTGGGGTGGGCGGGGAGGAAAGGAGGAATTGCAGCTGTGACTTGATTACATATCACATGCTATCCATCAGTTAAATTCCCTCCTCCCGGAGTCAGGAGATAACAAGATACCCTGTGATTCTCGCATATAGAGCAAAAGAATTTTATATTGACAAAGATGCAAATTCCCATCATAGATGTACACAAGTTATTACAGTTTAAATATCTGGGGGGGGGGGGGAATGGGGAAGAAAAAGAAAACCCTTTTGATCAAAGCTAACTGATCTATGTGGTTTGGGGCTGGCCAGCTTTTGTATACCTATGGACAGGAGTGCACACCAGTCATCCTCCAAGGGATCCTTAAGAACAAGGAGCAGTCGTGCAGAGGAACGACTTTTTAATATGATATAAATGTAGACAAGATAAAGCCAACACCTTTTTACTGACACCCAAGAGTCTTCCACTATAAACCAGGACAGAGTGGTGCATCTGGATTTGACCCCTCTCTCCATCCGAACAAATATCTCAAGACAAAACAGGCTGTGAGACTTTTGAGTCCAACTAAATGCAGGCTCCTTCCATACAGCTTTGCCAGTTGGCAATATACAGAGAATAAGCAGGCTGGTAAAAAAGTCTCTGGGAAAAATAATGCAACTTAGGACTGCTTAACTCCTAACCACAAACCTATTTGGAGCCGCCACTGTGGCCTGGGCCATATTAAAAATGTGCTGCTATACCTCAGCTAGCAAACATACCTGGAGTAGGGGTAGTCTGGTTTGTTCACCCAGACCAAAGGAACTATACCAGTGCAGACACTTCTCTGGGGATATATCTGCATCTATATTTTTGCTGAAACAAACGGTGTCAGCAAATAAAGCTTTCCCAAGCCCTTATTCCTAGTAGTTGTTCAGACATGGGCACTAGGGTAAAGCAGCCTGATGACTTTAAAAGGAAAAACAAAAGCCGGTGGCCGTGGCAGGGGGAACTCAGTTTGGCTGAGACCATTCCGTGGAGCCTATTGAATTTTCTGCACTTTAGGTGCCTGAGCCGCTCTGGAGGCTGCAGGAAGGCGAAATATCCAAATGCCTGGGGAGGAGGCAGTGGTACAGGCCAGGGAACGTGCTGCTGCAGGGAAACCCTCTTGGCAGGGAGGAGGATGTACGGAGCCCGAGCAGCCCACCTTCACCTTGCACGTTGTATCTTCTCTGCACGGCCAGGGAAGAAACAGAGCACACCTCTGCAAGCAGCCTGCTGCAAGGCCTTGCTTTTCGGGGATCCTGAGACTGAACACGCTGAACTGCTTTTGCACAAGGGTGAAGAAACACCCTCCCACCAGCGTTGGGCTCTGGCACATGAAAGCGGTTGGGCCCAGGCTGGCCTCTCTCCCTGTGAAAAGACTGCTTAAAGCTTAGGCCCTTCTGATGGACAGGAAGGTGGGACGATTTGGGAGAATGGAAGTTCAGCGTGCAGCTCCTGGCCAAATCCACCCTGGGACTGATGCCACTGCCTTTGACAGAGGGCACAGTATCGATTTTGGGAATCTTCTCACGAAGAAAGAGTCGCCCACAAGCAAAGCAGATGGGTGGATAGGAGCCTGCGGGGGATGCGTCCCCGAAAGACACCACACACAAGCACACCCATCGCAGGTGCTCAGACTAGTCAAGCTCACACGCCGAGCCAAGACCACGAGCCTCACGCCTCCCGCAGCCTCTCCTCGCGGCCGGCTGCACTGCGCCGGGGGCTCCCCAGCTGCCCTCCCCGTGGCTGGCACAGGGAGCCAGCCTGCTCGGTGGGGTGCCGACCAGCTGTGGAGGGGCTGCTGGCATCCCAGAGCCACGGGGAGGTTGCAACGCAGCCACGGAGCAGAGGTTTTGGCCATCTCTGCCGGCCCGCTGCAGGCTGAGACTGTGTTGGGTGATGGCATTGCCGCAGCATCTGCCTTGCCCTGCAGGCCTGCCCGCGAGCCCACACGCAGGCAGGGGCTGTTGAGGGGCTACAGGCACTGAGCACGGGACCCCCAGGTCTCCCCTGCACAGCAGGACCACCAAACGCCTGAGCTTCGCTGCAGCATGCCAATGGGAATGAGCCGGGGACAGACCGATGGATGTATCCGCCCCCTCCCCTCCAAACCTGGGGACAACACGCAGTGTTTCGTGCTGCAGAAAGCACCCGACACAGATCGCTAGCAGGGCACGTGGCTCCCATACCCCCAACACCCTGCTGCCTTGCCCCTGCCACAGAAGGGGCTGTCAGGATCTGGCCTTCGCTGCTGCCGCCGCTCTGCTCCTACCCCAGCGTCACCCTCAGCGCCAGCATGCCCGGGGATGCCGTCCTTCCCCTCGAGCACAGGGGCTTGAGCTGAGGGCAGAAGCTAAACTCCCTCTGTCCGGGAGAGCCGGAGCTCAGCACAGCTCCAAGGGGGTTGGCAGTGACTGCTCTTGTTCCCCAGCTAATTGCAGAGGGGAGGTCTGTTCAGAGAAGACGTGGGACTACCTAAGCTGTACCTCTGGATCAGACCCCCTGGAAGGCATCGCTCTCTGAGTATTCCTGTTCATTCATTCCTCGCACAACCCAGCCTCTTACAGCTCCCTCTTCATTCATTTCTCCCTCCTTTTCCCTCTTTGTCGTTAACTTTTCTCCTTCCAACCCACGTTCCATCTCGCTCTCGCTCTCACACACGCATCCCTCCATCCTTGCCGCATCCCTCTGTGAATTTATCCCTCCTCACCCCTCCCAGCTTTGTCCCGATGACTAGTCCCAGGGGTCAGGCACTAAATGCTCATTTTCCAGGTACCCAAGAGACCTCTGCGCTCTGCTCCCGGACCCACGTTAGGGCTGGCAGCGTGAGCGGTGCGCCCACATTGTGGGCATGGCTTGGCAGCCCCCTAAATAGGATCGGGGCAGCATCCATCCCCAGGTAGGAATGCGGGCACTTAACCAGGCACCGGCTGCGATAGCCAACTCCAGCGGGAGAACAGAGGAGGGAAAGGAGGGAGGAAAGGTCACAGGAATCAGAGCAATCCCATTTCCTGCCCAAGTCCGCGGTCCCAGCTACGCGGTGAGCTCCGGCCCGATCCTTCCTCGAGTGCCCTTTACCTGCGTGCACAGACTCCAGGTTCACCATCCTGCCGGCGGAGGGAAATCCGCGGTGCGCCCAGCCTCCTGCCGTCAGCCCCAGGTTGCCAGGGGCTGCCAGTTTGTCCTCCCTCCTCTGCCACCCGCTGCCTCTCAAACCGGGCGTGGGTCCGCTCCCCAAGGGACCTAGAGCTCCATTGCCTGTTGCCATGCAGGGCCAGGGGAGCATGCGGCGCCGCGCCACGCCTCGCCCCACCTCCGGCTCCCTCGGGTGCCCTGACACCCAGCAGCCTGGCGCCCGGCCCATGCAAAAAGCACCCATTTGCATATTAGTAACTGGGGAATGGATGAGTCCCTGCAGCGCTACCAGGGCGTGGGGTGGGGTGGGAAGGAGGGAGGGAGGGAGGAAGGAAGGCGGTTTGCCCGCCCTCGGCTGCACAGATACACCCCGCAGCACCTGCCTGCTGGGCTGCGAGCGGGGGGCTTTACGCGGGGGCTCTGCCGCCAGCCCCAGGGCCGAGCCGGCCCCTCGCGGACAGGCTTTTGGCTCTGGCCTTTGCAACGCGTGGGTAAGAGAGGCCGAGGCGTCGAGCCGGGCTGGGCGGCAGCCGCCAGCACCCAGAAGGGCAGGCGTCCGAGCTGCGGGAACTGCCCTGCCCCTCCGCTAAGCAGCCCTTTCGCTTCATTTCTGGCCACTCTGATAAACCCCGGGGTCTGCTCAGAGCGAGCCATGAGAGCAGCCTGTGCGGTTGAGCGTCTGCATCTCTTAGGTCTGGGCTGAACCTGAACGATGCCGTAGGAAACAATCAGCACTAAAAGGAAAGTTAAGAGTAACCTGACTTGGCTAAAGACGCAGGGCAGGATTAGGATCAGCACATGGAGAAGCCCCTTTCCTGACTCGTGCTCTGTGCGGTACATCAGTCCCCCAAGAAGAGGAGAGAAGTGGCAGGCAGCCTCTTTCTCCTCCTCCTCGTTGTTTAAAGCTGCAGTATTCAGCCTCCTTCCAGGGAAGCCAGGCAAAAAAAAATCCCCTAATATTGGCTTCTTCTGTAGGGAGCTGCCAGAGGCCAGCTCCTCAGCCTATACCCTGTGCTGTGATGGGGACCAACAGTCACCCTCACAGATCCAGGCACTGTGGCTGCTCCCTGTCCCCGCCGTACACTACCTTGATGACCCCCAGCACGGCCCAGGGTAGCAGGACGCCTGCGTTAACCGCCTGAGCTCCAGCGCTGCTCAAACCCCTCCTGAAAGCGTTAACACACTCAATTGGTAGCTGCCAGGTACAAGCTATCACACATTCATCTCTCCCTGGCTAATTCACGTTCCAGGGCTCTCGGCTTTCCCACATACTGCTCTCCCTCCCTGGAAAGACAGGTTTCTCCGAAGAGATGGGTGGGCGGGCGGGCAGGCTCTGGAGCCTCACCTCCAACCCAGTCCAACTGTTATGGAGCCGGAGCGCCTGCCCTCGGCTTGCGTGGTCAGAGAGGACATCCTCAGGAGACGGCAACACACGAGGAAGAAAGGGTGGATGTGTTAAACGAAACTCTAACAAGGAAAAAGTGGAGAAAAGCGGGGGGAGAGGTGGAAGGGGGAAAGCAGAGAGGAGAGGAAGTTCCCAGGTCAGATGAACGTTTGCAGGCGCGAGGGGAGATTTCTGCGGGCTCCGTTTAGCGCTGCTCCAGGAAGCAGAAAGGTGACATGGGGTGGTTTGCACAGGCAGCTTGTTTTGAGCTGCTGGAGGGGCTGGACTCCTGCCACGGATCCCGAGCCTGTGGCAGAGCCCCAGCCATTCAGGCCCTGACCCTCGGGGCGTTCCTGGGCAGCTGCTGGTCTGTTTTCTAGTGTTTTCGGCGTGACCCCCACGTCTGGGTTTTCCCCATCTTGAAGACTGACGCGATCAGGCCTCTTCGCTGCGTCAAACATGGATTTGCTGTGGCTTCCAGCCAGCTGGAAGGGCCTCTGGGGCACAGGAGAAAGGCCCCGGAAAGGCTGGGGACCACGAGAGCTCTCCTTCCCCCCCATCAGAGCACCTTTTGCACAGCAGCCGGGTGTTTCACTTGACACCGACCCTTTCTCTCTGCTTCCTGGCGCTTGTCCCTTGCTCCGGAGCCGAGCAGCCCGTGGCGGAGCCCCGGGGAGGCAGGTCCTCCCCGGTGGCACCTCCAGCCGGACAGGAATCCCGGGCATCCCTCCGCCCGGGGATGCTGTCCCGGCATGGGCAGGGCCGCAGTGCCCTCTCCTGGCCCTGCAGGCGCTGCCAAATGCAACCGGGAATCGCCCTGCAGCTGGTGGGATCTGCTTTTTGACTGTTACTTTGTGGTCAATGGAACAGCAGGGAAAAAAAAAATAATATTTAAGCACTTTATCTCCCCAAAGAGCTGTGGGAGCAAAGCCCTTCACCTGGGTACCCTTGGCTTCAGCGATGTGCTATGCAGGCAAGAGAGAATACACCCTCGTTATTAAGCTACCCAAAACATCCCCGCTACCCAGAGAAAGAAAAAATAGGGGAGGGATCACAGCATCATCACTCCTTTCTGTCATGGAAATAAGACCACCTTCTTCAGCAAAGGCAGATTTGCCTTAACTCTGCCCTGAGATGACCACTCCTAGATGCCAGCAGATATGCTGCTTTTTTTTTTTTTTTTTCTTCCATGGCCATCAACGAATAATCCATCCGCTCTCATCCTCACTGTATGAAGTGTTCCTCCACTCCTGCTGCCAATGTTTATTCCTTTCTTGGAGGAAGATAAACTCTGCAGATAGCACTTATTTATGGAGTATGGCCTTTGGACGGGCCCTGAAAGCACAAACTGCAGAAAGATGTTACACACACACACACCCCCCCCCCACTGCTTTTTTTTCTAGCAGGAACGATTTAAACCGGTGCTCCTGGCCAACTGCGCCTGCTCTCTGTGCCAGGAAGGTCTCCTGTCTCCACCTGCAACAGCTGCTTTTCGAGGGCATTACTGAAGTGCACCAGGAAGGATTTTTCTTCGGAAAAGCAAACGCGCTGCAGCACAGCTCTCTTCTAGCGAGGCTGGGCAGAGAGCGAAACCTGGCAGGGACCGAGACCCACAGCTGTAAACTGAGGCACGGAGCACACACCACCCCCAGCCCGGCTCTGCCCGCTCCGGTCCGGAGGAGCCTCCAACCTCTGTCCCCGGACACCCTTCGCCTCCGTGCTCCGCCAGCACCCACTTGTGGAGGCCGGGAAAGCTGCACCGCAAGCGGCCGCACAGGGCAAGCAGCCGGTGTGTGTCCCCCCCGCCATTCCCCAGCCTTCCCTTTCGGACCCCTTCGAGGCCCCGGTAGCCTCAGGGCAAGCAGGTGGCATTAGCTTCGGGAAAGCGGAGGCACCACCTCCCTCCCACGCTTTGGGGAGCGCGGCGGGTTGCAGCACACCTGGGGGACGTGCCCCGGTTGCTCGTCTCCCCTCAAAGCCCAGCTCTGCCAGAGCACGCACAAAGCCAGAAACGACTACCGAGTTGAGCTCTGGGTCTACTGCCCGTACTTAGATTTCACATCCTTCGCTCGTCTGCTACTCCCAGAGCTCCCACGGCACAGCACTGAGACGTCTCTGTGATCCAGGCACCCCAGAGCCTCACCGCTACAAAATAAGGACATTCAAGCTCGCCGGGATATCACCCAATGCTCCCAGAGCGAGGTCGTGTCCGCTCCCGGCAGCCCTGTACAGTGAGGAACAGTGGAAATGGGCTACGCGGGGCTCCCAGCAGAAAGGCACGAAGCCACCCTGCAATCTCCTCCCACGCTGCTCACAGCCCACCTCATCCCACAGCTGGATTTAACTCCGGCAAGCAGGGACAAAGTCCCACAGTGTCCTGCTGCAGCAGGAGCGGAGGCAGCGAAGAACATACCCCTGTAAATGCTGACCATGTAAGCAAAAACCCAGCAATCTCAGCTTCCCCAGAAATCACAGTAAGGGGTAAGTTGCCTTGGTGGCTCAAGTGGAGAAGGGCCGAGGTTGCCCAAGTCCTCGTCCCATCTCTGCATTCACCACACTAGGGGGAATCAGCACTCCACGTTTCTTCCTCGAGCAGCCAGAGCTAAGAGCTCTGAGCTGGCCCAAAACTCTGCAGCCCTCATCTCCCCTCAGCTATGGCTGCAGAGGAGTAGACAAAGAATACTTTATTGAGGCTGCTGGACCAGACAAGCCTCCAGCCACACGATGCAGCCGCACATCTGCATAATACCCCCTCATGGGACCCCACCATCACTCAGAGAGAAGAGCAAGCACTACCACCTTGCCTAACCCCAGGACCTGCCTCTACTGCTGGTCTTTTACTTCACCTCAGACTCTTCCACAGTTGCTTGCAATGAGTCAAAGCTGTCTCCCTGCTAAGGGGCTGGGTGGATGGTATGCTTGAGATGCAGGACCACATTGAAAGTGCTGTGGTCGTGCTGAACAGCAGGATGTCCCTCCCCCATCCACGGGTCTTCAATGTCCTAGGTGCAGGCTTGAGACTTACCCATAAGGGAACAACTCTTAAATCAAGAACCCAAACAAGTGGATCACATGCAGATTATGCTGCACAGAGAAGCTTTTAGGCCAGGGATGCTTTAAAAAAATCAGTTTATTTTACCTTACAAATGATAAATAATTTGTTTTAAAAAAATCATTTCAAGTGTGTTTTACTTCATGTTGCAATATTAAAATACGTTTCCCTTCTCCCCCCTTAAGTGATCAATACAAAAATAATTGTGACCAAATTCTTTTTTTTTGTCAAAAATTCCTGTATTTTAGGCAAAAAGGCACATTGTGAAGGCTTTTCACCAGGAGGTACAGGGGTTCACAATGACCCCAACAGCCTCTCTCCCCTCCCTGCTTGCTCTAACTTGAGTGGAAGAGGACACAGGAACCAGGCAGCACTCCTGCAGTGCTTTTTGTCTGATGCCCTCCAGGTATATACCAGGGCCAAGGTCAGCTTCAGTGGTGTCCCTGTTTTACATATAGGGAAAACCAAGGCACAGCAAAGCAGTACAATTATCTAAGAGCTTCTTGTGAATAGCTGGCAGAGTAGGACATAAAAC